TCCATACATCCATCAATTGTGTAAAGCACAGTTGTACATTCATTGCCCTCATCATTCTCAAAACATTTGCTCTCCACTTAAGCCCCTGGCATCAGCTCTTCAATTTTGCCCCTCCCTCCCTGCTCCCCCTTCTCTCATGCACGCTTGATAATTTATGTTATTATTTTATCATATCTTTCACTGTCTGACGTATCCCTTCACCCACTTATGTGCTGTTCGTGCCCTAGAGAAGAGGTTATATGTAGATCCTTGTAATCGGTTCCCCCTTTCCAACCCACCCTCCTGCTACCCTCCAAGTACTGCCACTGTCACCATTGGTCCTGAAGGAATCATCCACCTTGGATTCCCTGTGCTTCCAGTTCCTATCCAGTATACATCCTCTGGTCTACCAAGATGTGTAAGGTAGAATTGGGATCATGATAGTGGGTGGGAAAGAAGCATTTAGGAACTAGAGGAAAGTTGTATGTTTCATCGTTGCTACATCGCACCCTGACTGTCTCGTCTCCTCCCCGAGACCCTTCCGTAAGGGGTTGTCCAGTGGTCTACAAATGAGCTTTGGGTCTCCATTCCGCACTCCCCCCTTCATTCACAATGATATGATTTTTTGTTCTGATGATGCCTGATACCTGATCCCTTCGACACCTCGAGATCACACAGGCTCCTGTGCTTCTGCCATGTGGGCTTTGTTGCTTCTGTGCTAGATGGCTGCTTATTTACCTTCAAGCCTTTAAGACCCCAGATGCTATATCTTTTGATAGCCAGGCACTATCAGCTTTCTTCACCACATTTGCTTATGCACCCACTTTGTCTTCATCGATTGCATCGGGAATACTAGTTTAATAGAGCAAAGTATTCTTGCATTGAGGGAGTACTTGAGTGGAGGCTCAATGTCCATCTGCTACCTTAATACTAAACCTATAAGTATATGCACATAGATCTATTTTCCCATCCTCATATATAAATATGTTTACATATGTACATGCCTTTATTTAGACTTTTATAAATGCCATTTGCCTCCTATCTCTTTCCTCTATTTCCTTTGACTTTACTCTTGTCCCGCTATCATGCTCAGTCTTCATTTGGGTTTCAGTAATTCCTCTTGGTTACATTACACTTGATCATGCCCTACCAGGCCTCCTACACTCTCCACCCCACCAATTTGGATCACTTGTTGTTCCCTTGTCCCTGGGTTTGTTAACAGCACTATCTTTCCCCCCACATCCCCCTCTCCCATATACCCCCAGAACTGTCGGTCACGTTGTTTTCTCCTCCAGATTGTTCATACAGCCTATCTAATTTAGACAGACTTGAGGAGATGTGCAAAATCATGCACGAAAACAAGACAGAGCAAAACCAAGCAACAATATACAACAAAACAACAACAACAACAAACCAATGACAAAACACAAAACAAAATATAACAAGAAAGAAAAGCTTGTAGTTAATTCAAGGACTGTTTGTTGGCCTTTAGGAATGTTTTCAAGTTGAATCTGTTGGGGCTCCAAGCCTTGGCCCCAGACAAGCGTGTTGTTGATGTTGCTTGGGCAACAGTCTAGTGGGGGACCGCAGGACCTGTTCCTGTGGGTTGGAGGAGAACAAGTCTCCTCCTGAGGCCTTCCCTGGGAGGGGAGAGAATGAAAGAGGAGTGACGAAAGAGGCTTTGCTGGCTACTCCCTTTTTCTCAAGCAATTGTGTTCTGAGCGGCCACATGCAACTAGTTTTCCTCCTTCCTCTCTGGCTGGCCTCTCTTTCCCCAGGCAGATGCTGGTGCCCAGACTTCTGTTGTAAGCCCCCTCTCCCCGGGCCTTCTCCTCGGATGATTTCTTCTTGGTTGAAGGACCATTCACGTGTCATGAGGCCCCTGTCTCCATCTCTATCTGCCCCTCTCCCTTGAGCTCCAGGCCCAATTCACCACCTGCTTCTGGGCCAGTCACACTAACGTCTCCATCACAAGGCACTGCGTCTCTTCCAGCTCCTTGTCCTGCTTTTGGTGATTTTGCAACACACTGCCTTGCTTCCCAGCGCTGACTCTGATTTCTTCAGCCCCTGCTCACCCCACTGACCTGCAGCCTCAGCAGCCCGTCCAGAACCATCTGAATGAGCTTTGCTGTCCAGCTTCTCTGTCCTCTCTTTTCTCCATTTCCAGGTGTGCCCTCCTCTAAACCTTGCTCCACGTGGACTGTGAGTGATAGTTGATCATAACTGTTGGCTGTGCACACATGCCAAATGCCATCTAGATGAACCCAATTACTGCCTTTTTATCTTCATTGGTCACCCCTCCCGGCTCATATACACTGAGGTTCAAGCACCCCATTCTCTCTCAGTTGTTTGGATACTTATACTGTCTCTGACCCCAGATTGTTGACTTCAGGATGTTCCCAGAAGTGCTGTCTTCATTCCTGAACATTTCTGCCCCTTCCTTCCCTGGCCACCTGCATTCTTCAGGTCCCTGTGGAGCAATCACTTTCCCAAGGTTTTCTCCATCCCCAAGTCACAGCTCTTTCACACCGTGCTTGGCTGTCTCCAACCACTGGCTTATGATCCATTTGAAGGCAAGCTCCCTGGCCCTGGGGCCCCTTCACTATTCTCAGGGCCCACCATCGAGTCTCACACATAGTAGATGCTCAAGAAATAGGGAGTCATAAGTATTGAATGCATCCATGAAAGGACAGAGCCAATCTTTCTTGAATATATACTGTCCACCATGCTCTATACCCAGTGTTGGTTCTGACTGACGTCCCCTCGTGATTAATGAGGTTCAGCATCTTTTTTGTGTCCTTGTCAACCATTCATGAATCTTCAGAACAATGTCTTTGAGATCTGCTATCATTTCTGTATTGGGCTGTTGGTCCTCACTGGGCTGTAGGAGTGCTTCACATACCCTTGACATGATTTTTTCTTTAAGACGAAATCTGCCATGAATCTATCACATAGAATTAATTACCATAGAAGAGGCAAAGCATGGGAAGCTGTGGACGAGGTGATTTAGACATCAGGAGAGAGGCCTTCCCTGGTGTTATTTAGCTCGGGCTACCCTTGATGAATAATGGGGTGGCTGACTGGGGCAATTTGGAGTTCACAGAACATGAAGAAATCATAGCACTGGGTGTCTAGACTTGTGAATAAGAACTGAGCAAAGACAAGAATTTGCCCAAGCGGATGGCAACCGTGGGCTGGAGGCAAGTCCTCAGTGAGGGTTGGAGGGTGACTTAAAGGCACCAAGGGTCGTGTGGGTGGCATGAACATTGAAAGAGGAAGCAAGCACGCACACACACACACACACACACACAGAGACTGCCGCCAAGTGATTGGACTCATGGTGAGCCTACAGAGAACTTCTGCGGCGGGAAATCTTTACAGAAGCAGAAAGTTTCATCTTTCCCTTGTGGAGAGGCTAGTGGGTTTGAACTGCTGACCTTGAGGTAGTAGCCCAATGCATAACCTGCTCCGCACAGCCAAAGCTCCCCAAGAGGAAGTAGACCATGTTACACACGAGTTGCAATGTCTTCTGTGTGGACGTGTAAGAGAAATCAGCGGGATAATCACCAGCTGGTCCTCGGGAGAAAGACAGGGCTTTCTACTCCTGTAAAGAGTTACAGTCTCACAATCTCACAGGGGCCGTTCTACCTTGTCCTGTATAGAGGCTGCTGCTTTGCTGGTTGGAGGAAGATGAGGCTTTCTACTCTTGTAGACAGTACAGTCTCAGAGACGTATAGGGGCATTTCTACCCTGTGTGAGAGGGTCACTGTGAGTTGGCATCCACTTGATTGATGGCAGTGAGTTTCGGTGGCATAGTGGGTTCTATGTTTAGATCCTAATGACAAGGTCAGCAGTTCCCATCCACTGTAAAGACTGACAGCCTTGGAAGCTCACAGAGGCATTATTCTACCCTGCCAGAATTGATGGCAGTGGGTTTTTTGTTTCTTTTTGTCTTCCTTTCCTCATTCAGGGAGACCAATAACAGAACTTTTCTACAAGTTCCTGGTATTCCTATAGACGCCTTTTCATCTTTGGACCCCCTTCAGCCCACCCACCCCCACCCACCCCAGGCCGTGCCCCAGGGGGTACTATGGTCCTCAGGAATGGGGCACCACAGGGAGCAGTCTCCATGTGGATCTCCAGGGGTTCTTGTCCTCACTGTGGTGGACACCACACATTCCGTGGCAGCTCCTCTCCCTGCTGCCACCAACTGGATCCAGACCTGAGCATGGGCTCTGGCTTCAGGGAATCATGCAGCAGAGACAGGGTACACACAGCAGACTTTACTGAGAGAAGTGGGAAGCGCAGAGTGGTTTTACAGCACAGCAACAAGGGCAGTCCCCTACATTCCAGCAGGTCTCTGTCTTACAAAGTCCCCATCTTTGAAAATCCCCCCTGGCCTCTTTTCTCCCCAACCTTGAATCCCTGTTACACTAACTGCCAGCCAACCCACCATCCCCACCCCCAGCCACCCTGCCAAGCAACTAACACACACACACACACACCCCTCCTCTCATCTGTCCTCCTCTCAGACTCAGAAGTCATCTTGTTCCATTTTAAGTTTCATAAAAGAAGGTCCTCAATTGGCTACCTTTAGTGTGAACATTGAAAAGCCCACAAAAGCGGAGAGACATGAAGGAGACACAAGCCCTGAGCATTCTGCAGCCCTGGGCTCCTCTGTCACCTGCTCTGAGCCCCTAAGTCCCTCCATTCCCCCATGGCCTTCCCTCCACTTGCATCTCAAAAGCTCTCAGCAGGAAGCCAGCAGTTTTTGTCCTCTCTTCCTGTAGGTGTATGTGTGTGTGTGTGTGGGGGGGGGGGGGGGGGGGCTGCCAGGATCCATGTCAGGAGAGACAGAGAACTGCCCCTGGAGATAACAGAGCAATGAATCCAGCACCATCCCAGGAGCTGAAAGGTTTATGTAGGAACAAGGATGTTGGCTCCAGGGATGGAATCCACCCTCCCAACCCAGTGCTTCACCCCTCTCATGACAAGAAGCAGAACCCAGACATCTTCTGTCCCTAGACACCCCCACTCAACAGCGCAGCTTTAACCCTGGGCTTCAGTAGCTCTTCCCCACTTGGGTCTGTGGGGCATGGCTGGTACCTGGCCCTTGACACCTGGATGAAGGAGGAGCAGCGGTGGTGCCAGAGGCTGTAGAGACCGTAGATGACTGCCAGGATGGCAACCCCTAAGACCAGGTGCCAGGTGAAGAAGATGGTGACAAAGGCAAGGTCTTCGGGGTTCTCTGACCTCCAGGGCTGTCCCGAGGGGGGCGCGTACAACAGCACGCCGATCTGCAGCAGCCAGCTGCTGAACACCAGCCGCATCCAGGCCTTGAGCACCCAGAGCCGGGGCTGGTCTGGGACCCAGACCTCGATGGTGAGCACCAGTGCCAACAGGCAGGTGGGCACCAGGAGCAGAAGGTGCACTCGGACCTCCAGGGCGCTCTTGTTCTCCACATGAGTGGCCATCAGCAGCATCAGCACATAGAAAGCCAGGGCCTCGATGGCCTGTTCCAAAGGCGCCATCTGCCGTGCCAGACAAAACCAGCTCACGATGTCCACCGCACCGCTGAGCAGGAAGAAGCCAAACATGGTGATATGCTGCCAATAGTCCTTGTACACGAATGACCGGTGAGGGTCCTCCCAATCTATTAGCTTCAGATGATTCACGCCCAGAGGATAGAAGAGCTCACCTAGGATACTGACCAGGGGGCATAACAACTTGATGGACCCTTCCACAAGCCCCAGATGACACCACACCCGCTCACACTTCTCTCTTCGGGGCAGAGGGGGTTTGACGAGCCTCTGTTTCCGTAGCAGGGCCAGAGAGACCAGCACTGAGTAGTAGAGGGAATAGCCAAGGAAGTATGTTCCTGGCACCACGTGCCCCTTGAAGGTACCCATGGTCTCGGTGTGCGGGCCGGCGCCAACAAGGTGAGAGCTGGCAGGGGAGCAGCCACTTCCAAGCTGCCGCTGAGCCCTGTGGAGATGCCCTGGTGAGCTCTTTCCACATGGGACGCCTCCCACTGGCCTTGCCCCTTTGTTGGGTAAAGTGGAAACAAGCTGAGTCACTCCACGGTGGAATTCTTCTTCTGTTTTTCAAACTTCTTGATGACACCTCATGGTTCCATAATTAAATCCAACGTACCTCTGCTTGCTGTGGGATTTGCCCCACAGAGAGTAGGGGGTGGGGGCGTAAAGAGGTTAGGTGCCCCAACAAAAAGGGGTGTGGGGGTAAACAAAAACAGGGGGTGGGTGGGCTCTCCTATTGAGGATCTTTCTGTGCCAAGCACGCTGCATCTTGTTTTCTCAATAAAAGTCTTAGCAGCTGTCAGACACCATTGCAGAGCCGGGACAAGGCTCCAGGTTGATCCGTTTGCTTGCAAAGCCCAGAGTGGGTGCTAGGCAAAGGGACAGATTCTCAAGCCCCAACACTTCCATGTCACACGATGTCGGGAACGTCATTCTGTCTTCTTTACCCTCAATCTCCTGGTCTGTGGAAGCGGAAGACATTCCTTCTCAGGACCGTTGTGAGGATGAACTTGACCAATGCATAGCCGAGGGCCAGGCATGTAACAAATGTTCACTGAAGGGCAGTGTTCAGTAATCATTTGACTATTGTTCTTACTCCAGTTCCTCGCTAAAGTCCTGCATGCTTGACATTGCTCAATGATTTCTATGAATGATATTGTTAGATCGCTCAGGGGAGAGATACACCTCAGTCCTTGGTTCCGCGTGAGAAAGAATTCACGTCGAAGCCTGGTTTGAGATCCCAGTGGGTTGATAGAGAACAGTAGCAGTTTCAGGTCTACAGTAAATGCAACACAAGCCAGACAAGAGTCCACAGCACAATTGCGGGACTGCGGCCTGGCCGCTTGGACTCCAGCCTGGCTATGCTACATCGTGTAGCAGCCACTGGGAAAGAGAGAGCCCAGAGGAAAACCTCTGGCCTTTCAGGGGCGCCATTGGGAAGCATGATTGACAATACCGGTCGACCCCATTGGCTGAATCAAATTCACCTGGCTTAGATGGGCCAATCCAGGTGTAATGCCCACCTAGGTGTACCACCCCTTCCTGGCCAGAAGGTAGAACCTCTGAGAATGTGTAATAGATGTCCCAGTCCCTAAGTAACATTTCCCCCCTTAAGAGATATGGACCCAAATCTTTGGGGTACTGGGTGACAACATCTCTTGTGGGGAGAAGGGGAGGTGGGTCCCCCACAAATCATCGCAGGTCCAGTAGGCACAATTGTACAGCGATAATAAGTAAAGATTATAGTAAAGTTATAGAGAGCATGAAAGGTAGAGGAGAGACTGGAATAAATGGAGTCAGACACAATTCATGGCAGAATGCTCACCTCAGCCCCACTTGGTGGTCCTCGTGGGGGAGCCCGGCCATGAGAGCAGGAGATGGCCTCGGGGACGGAGAACCGGGGAGAGCTCCTGGGCCCCCAGGAGCTGGAGAGAGCTTTCTCCTTAATGCTAACCAAGTATTATATCTCTTTAGGGGGACATGATTACAGGTAGCCACACGTCACAGGAAGGGGCGGTACAATAGGCATACACATTTTAGGAAGGGGATGTATGACAGGCATAAGCGTGACAGTAAGGGGATGAGCTAGGGGTGTGCACATAGGAATGGGAAGGTCTAGGGGTATACATGTGACAAGATGGGCGGACCCTAGATTCATGATGGCAGCCTAACCTTGGTCATCCATGGGCGGGTTTGACCTCTCTGGTGTCTCCTACAAGGAAACAGATAACTACTATCCTTATCAGAAGGGAGTGGGCCCTACTTGTTATGGGATAAACAGTGGTGTCTGCTTTGGTCTAGATGGCTGATAGCTCTTGGGGAGAATGACCCCTAATCTACTCCTTATGACCTCCAAGTGCACAGTCATTCGCAAGCAGCTAAGTCTGGCATATATATGGGGGAGACAACCTGCGAAAAATCCTTCTGTTTCCCATAATCCCCCCTTTTGTTTTATATATAAAATTCAAAAGAGCCACATGGGCAACATGGTTATTTTCCATACATTAAAAGCTGTCAAGGCAAAACTCCATGATCCAATTAATATAGCCAAAAATTCAGGCTTATGGTAAACATTTTGAATCCAGGCATGGAGGATAAAGACCCCCTATGCCCATCTGCTCTTGGAGGAAGGTATGAGAGGGGCTAGATGCCGTGGCGGGAAGAAAACGAGCAAATAGGATTATCTGCCTCTGTAGAGAGAATGAATCGACCATGTGCTCACTTTAAGGCAGCACAGCTTTCGAGGGAGAAACTGTGGAAATAGATTACCGCAAGAAAATGCACTTGGACTATACCTCCAACTACCAGAGTGGCGGCTTTCCTACCATGGAACACTGGCTTTCCAGACTCCCTCCATACACTTCAGGGATTAAGTCCCAGTTTTATTTCCCTTAGTGCTAGTATCCCACATTTCCCCTTTCTGCATTGTGTTAAAATTTAAGTGTCACGGAGGCAACATGGTCTCTTTTCATATCTTTTAGCTTCCTATAGAAGCGACACGAGACTGCGAGCATCAAAATTATGATGATAAACAACAGTCAGACTGGAACTTAAGCTGTGTGAAATGCTTTGCACCCAAGCTCGCGGGTCCAACCCTTCCATGCCATTCACCAATTGCTTAATCATATCAGAGCCGAGAGATGCCTCAAGCTTGTCTTTGAATGTATAGAAAATATCCTTATTAAGCTGGTCAACATCTAATGAAATGTTTTCTTTTAAACCCTTGCAAATGTTTCTTAATCAAATCCCAATCATGCAATGTTACATTATATAGGTTAGGAGTTACACAGAAATCAGTTACATTCCAATTACATTACAGCATTGACAAGTCCAAGATCTTAATCTTTCAGCAAAACAATAGTCTGTAGTAATAGTCCAGGCACTATTGTATAAAATGTTCAGTTATGATAGAGTCCCAGAGTGTCCTTTAGACAGCATCCACAATGGAAGAAATATCTCAGCAGTCAGCAATCGCCATTCTCAGGCATCTGCGAGGTCTTCTTGATGGTTTGAATAACTTCAGTAACAGGACAGAGTCACATCACAGCATCGGCATCCCTCCTTTCTTCTGGGCCTTGCTGGCTGAAGAGAAATCCACCTATCTCCTTTGCCTGTGAAAACATAAACAAATAGCCCCTCTCTTCAGGGTGTCATCAACCTGAAAAAGGAATTATGATTAAGATTGGGTGGTTTCTCCATCTCTTGCTTGTCCATCTTTCTCCAAACTTGGTTGCGTCCTTCTAAGGAGACTATATCAGCTTCATTCTGCAGAAACATAAATGCGTAGCCCTTTCTCCAGGTGAATGGACCTGGATCCCAAATTCAATTTCCATCTTCTTGGGACTTCTTAGGATCAGTTTTCTCTGTAGAAGTGAAAATGTGCTTATCTGCCCTAATTTTGTTACAAGTGTTTAGTAAGGAGGAAATTTTTTTTTTGTTAAATTGACCAAATGAAATTTGTCACACATAAGATTCTTCTTCTCCCCCTTCTGTTTTAACAATCCAGATATTAAAGCACCGCTGGCAATCTCAGTTACCTTGCTTGGTCTTGAACCAGTAAAACTACTAGTTAGACAGCCTTCATTGTTATGTAAATACTGGCTCCCAGCCCTCAGAGAATCTGGAGAGTTAACATGTAAAATTTGGCTCCCAGCTCTCAGAGAATTAAGAGAGCTGACTAATTGGGAGAACTTCTTACCATACTTTGAAAGACTGAAAAAATTCTTAATAAATTTGTTCAGCTGTTCTTTAAGTAAGTTACCAAACAGACATTTTTTCTCCAAGTTTACTGATAAGGTTACAAGCGCCATTAAGCCATATTGCTCTTCAGACTTTTTACACTGGATTTTACAATCTTGCAATATTCTGTCTTGGTTAACTTCACTCATTCCTTCCGTGCTGGCTTTAGGGGAAGTTAACGGGATGGTCGTAGGCCCTCCTGAATGCCCTAAGGCAATGTCTCCATATCCAAAGTTTAAAAGCCACTCCCCTTCGATTTCTAGTTCCATGTGTGGCGCTGTTGTTTCCCCACAACAGCATTCCAGAAGACCCCTTGCTTCAAAGGGTGGAGGTCAGATTTCTCAAGTACTCTTTCCTGATAGTTGTAACTTTTAACTCTGGAAGAGCAAGGAAGGAAAAATTGGCTTAAGCGATTTACCTTTATATACCATGGCATATCAGATTTTATCACCGCTTTAATTTCTTCATAATCCTGACCAATAACTCCAGCAACACCTTGAGAATTTATGTTGGACTTTCCTAATAAACATCCCATAGTTCTTTTAGGTAGTGGACCCCATTTCCGCTCTTAATAATTTCTGATTTAATCACAGCTTATGTCTTTTCCTCACAACTCTGATCAACTCCAGTGTCAATTTTAATTCCTTGAGTACTTAGGCTAAATCTTCCTGTTAAAAACTGTATTACGCTTTCAACAAGAGGCTCCTGATTTTTAGAATGGACAGGCTGCTGTAAGGGGTTCTGAGCCTTTTCTTGATTACTCAAACCCACTGCAGGGGCTGGGCTTTTGCTAGATCTGGTCTCCTGCTGTGAAGCTAGGTGATACCTGCGATTTCTGCCATTCAAAGACTCTCTAGCGGTTTAGGCAGAGGCTTTGCCTTCTGAGCTCTGTTAGGCGGGACTTGGATCAAGCTCCTTCCACTATTTTCCCGCCAGGTAGCCTTGGCTAAGGGCAACCCCTTATTGTCGAATTTTGAGCCACATTGACTCACCCAATGAGTTCCCTTCCTACAGCATGGGCAAAGTTCAGGGTCTTTTAAACCTGAATTAGCTGGCCCTGGCCCATGCTCTGGCTTAGGCTGCAGTTTGCTTTTCACAGCCAGGCTGATTGGCCTGTGCTGTCTGCACTCTCT